TAAATGCATTACAATGTTGTTGCTGCAGATGGACCAGTATTTTTCTATGGTGTTATAGATGCAATCACAGACATGTATAAACTCAGCGTATGACCGAACTCAATGGCTGATCTACTAAATTATGCCTGTGAAAAGGATAATGTATGGATGTTTGGTGTGTTAGGATCCAAATAATACATAAATCCCCCCAAGTAAAATGTAAAAACTAATTATCGGGATGACTAGTATACTAACACAACTATAAATCTTACATGTGAAATCCATATTCTAGGCATTCACAGGCTTATCAAGGGATATGTAGTCAGTGTATTCAACCACAGCCAATTCTCACTCCACCAGGATGGTATATATATATTTTAACAATTGTGGCAGAAATCTCCTTAAAGGTACACCATAGGCACCAAAACATATTTAGCTTAATTAAGTGGTTTTGGTGTCTAGTTCATGCCCCTGCAGTCTTACTGCTCAAATCTTTGCCATTTAGGAGTTAAAAGGACACTATAGTCACCAAAACAACTTTAGCTTAATGAGTCAGCTTTTGTGTATAGATCATGCATCTGAAGGATCACAGCTCAATTCTCTGCCATTTAGGAGTTAAATCGCTTTTCTTTCTGTTTATGCAGCCTTAGCTACACCACCCCTGGTTGTGACTGACACAGCCTGCATTAAAAAAATGGTTTAGCATTAAGTCATATGTAACTTGCTTTAAAAGTTATCTCCTGCACTGGAAATTGTACTATAATGACACACAAGAGGCTCTTGCAGGGACTAGCAAGCTATTAACAGAGCAGGAAATAAGTTATGTTTTTAAGTTTAGGATCTAAATTAAACAGTATTTGCAATAAAGGAAGTGTTAGTTGAGTCTTTACAGGAAGTGTTTAGGAAGTCTGCGTAAGTCTATGGCAGATAATTGAGCAGTAGAACTGCATGGGCATCATCTGCATTAAGTTAAAGTTGTTTTGGTGACTGGGAAGGAGCACTAATACATTCCACCACTAAATCATATTAGTAGTGTTTGCAGGGCCATAGTGGGTATAGGGAAAGGTTAGTGGCTGTAGTGGTTGCAGGGGGTAATAAGGGCTTTTTATTGGGTGCAAGGACATAAGGGGCTGTTGTGGGTGCGGGGAGGGATACGGGCTGTAGTGGGGGTCAAAGAGCCAGTAGTGGGTGCAGGGGGTAATAGGGAACTATATTTAAAATATTTTATTGAATGTAAGTAAATCTAGACATATAAAAAAACTTAAAAATCCATTATAATAATATACAGCAGAGTTTAGAATATTAATATATACTTGCAATATCAGTAAAATAGATTATTAACATACACTCTTGTTCGTGAACAAGTGAACCTCTCAGTCTTGTAACATGCAACGGCATCTCTGCTTCCAAATTCTCCCTTCTGTTCCAACTAACTAACAATTTGTGTTTATATAGATTTTAGATAGCAATACATCAGGTCATTTTTGGGCAGGAAAATTACAATATATTACATTAAAACTGGTAACTGCAGTTTACTTGGGTAAATCTTGCTTTATTTGCACATACACAAGGCCTTACCAAAATAAGGAGGAACTTGACCTGGAGTAGCAAGACAAAATGGCGTCTATAGTGTAAATATTTTACGAAGCTGGGCATGAAGCCAGTTTGATAACAAAAAGCACAGTTGAAAGTACAAAATGTTCCATTGCAAGAAAGAACAGGGGGGGAAACCTGTCATTTTCACAAGTGCCCATAACAACAGGTTGTAGTGGGTAATATAGGCTGTAGTGGGTGCACCCATTTATTCCTATCACCCCATTTTTTATCACCCCCAAGTCCTCCTTTTTTTTTTTTACTTTTAGCCTGTGTTACCTCCCACCTCTTTCTATCCTCTACAAGCATGATCACACTATTGACATCACAGATCTGTTTCTTCCTCCAGGCAGCCATGTACCTCTCAACATCTGACTCGTGTTGTGGGAGCCTCTGCATGTGTGTATGTAGAGATGAAGGGATGTGATGCCAGTCCCCTCTCTTTTATTCCACACACAACGCCCCCTCTCAGAGCGAGAAGAAGAGACCAGCCAGGTGTCTATGAAGAAAAGCCTTCTGGCTTAAATGATGCTGGGACAGTTGGGGACAGCTTCTGATAGCTATGTGAATGGGCCCCTCAATATCACTTCCCTCAGTTATAGGAGTTCAGTAAGAGGCACACAAGGGGTCATGAACTAGGGGGGCAATTCACCACACCCTTGCTCCCCTGTAGTGATGCATATGCCTGGCTGTGACTCACACAGCCTGCATGGAAAAAAAAATGGTTGCGTTTTAGAACTTTAGAAGTTTTTATCTCTAGCCTTTTTAGCACTGTAAATTGAACTTTAATCACACACAGGATCTAGCAGGCTATTATCAGTGCAGGAGAGATACAAAACTTTAAATAATCAACATGTACTGCACTGTAGCCAATGAGAATATCCATACCAATTGATAGCGAAATGTTAGCATAAGCTGGCAATTATGAAATACTCCATAGGAAAAGTTATTTGACCAAAAACCTTGAGACGCACAAACAGGTAATAGCATTCTAAATATTCATAATAAAAAAAAATAGGAAAGTCAAATCGTCCTATGACTCAAGGCTGATTCAAAACATTTTCTATTTCTGCACCACAGTGTATTTCGGTTCTTGTGGGGGTTGGGTAATTCAGACAAACCAGCATTAGGTGCATAAGGCTTTTCACAATCCTAGAACTGTTCAACACATTATGTTAGTGGACTAAGTGATTGATTTCTGTCGCATATCTCATATTAATATTGATATCTAAAGTAAGACCTGTACACCATTAGAAAAAATGTGCAAGTATAGAGATAGGTATGGAAGGAAGTGAGTTTAATTGGTAATGTGCCACCAACACTACCCTTTTAACCTCAGGACCGTAGGTGGCATTCCAGGCAGGGACAGCTTAATCTTTTATCTTTTATGACTGATAAGTTCATTTGAAACTGGTAGGCACCTATGCCCAGTGAATACTTGAATAGAAGCACAAAGTTAATATCTTGATAATAGTAAAAGACTACGATTATTAATTGTTTAGAATCAGGGGTTAGGCAAATCCATTTAGATTATGACATACCTGGTAAGTCTTTGGTCCACATTAGGTAAATGTTATCAATAGATAGAGGAGCAGGGCATAGACAGACACAGGGAGGCGGTAATTAAAACATATTGATTTTTATAAAAAGGAAATAGTGTTGTAATGGTAATCATAGAAAAAAAAAACAATAAAGGAATAATATTCACGAACATTATAAGAAAGGATAATACTCCTGCATTTCCTATGTGTCTTCCTATAAAAAATATTAATGCTAGCTATTTGACCTAATTTACAGTAAAAAAACTACATTTTAAAAAAATAACAGCAAAAAGGGCTATTCTTTATACTTTAACAACAATTGCATTTCACAGTGTTGACTTCAGGCAAGGTTTCCAAAAAAACAGATCAATACAGCATAAAACTACAAAATAAAAATGTGTACAATAATAAATTAATATCATCTGGGTGTACAAAATGAAGATACAAAGAATCTTAGATTGTAGCATCACCCTGGTTACTAGGGTATGCTTCTTAATTAATTTGGCCAAGAAAACAATGGATACATATTGTATGACATGGATAGGCAATCTTATGCACTCCTGATTGTTTGTGTGTGTACTACATCTCCATATTGCTGGTAAAGCATCAGCGGAAAAGTACCAATTGCAGAATAAGCACAGAGCCCCAGCTGGTAGAGCACAACAAGCCAAAGCAAGCATTGAAGGACATTCTTCTACCAGCGAGGTCCCACGGATGATTACTTGTCAGCAGTACCAGTTGGAAAGACATGATGATAACTGAAGTACCTGTTGGAAAAGCTTGATGTAACCATGTTCTTCAGACTTGGTGGAAACATTCTTCAGTGAAACTCTCCAACCCTTTCTGCTACAGACCAGAGAAAATGTATAGATGACTCCAGCCTCTGTCGTAGTCTTGTTAAATCACAGCAGTTTGACTGCTGAAGAACTCCTGATGCTTGAACCAAATCTGAACCCCTTGACTGGTAGAATAAATATTTCCCAATACAGCCTTGAAGGAGGCTTTGCGGAATATAAGCCTGGCAGATTGTTTCAGGGTTGTTGTTTTTTTAACTTCTAGAGATAATATGCATTACCCTTTTCTTTAACATGCCCAGTTAGCCTCTCTGTAAAACCCACTCTTTTTAAGGCATAAGTATGGTAATGCATTACTTTAAATGTCATTGCTATACATATATAAAGGTATCAGATACCTTTCCACTACTACATGTTTCTCAACAAAAACCCCAGGGACCCCAAAGATGTCTGTGACGAAGTGCCCTTCGCCACTTGTGCCTGGAGAGGACTGCTTGCCCGCCTCTTGCCCTGTGACTATGGCCCCTGGTTTGTATTGCCCTTTAAAGACATGATTTGGGCATAATGGATTTGTGTTGTGTTGCTGCTGGCCCTTTAAGAACCATCTGGGGACATACTGTGGAGTTACTGGGTGGCCACCATTTCCTGTATCAGAAGCACATGGTGAGAACAATGGATGGCGGCCATTTTAACTCACAGACACTGTTTGGACTTTTCAACACGGTGCCATCTTGCCAGTATTTGGTGCACAGAGACATCGTGCAGTGGTTTTGGACTATACAGCAGGGGACACATTATACAGTGATTGTTTTTCATTTAGCCTGTATATGTTCTGCAGAATCTGCATTAAACTGTATTTTCCAAAGTACTGAACGGATCTGGGTGAATTTTGGATATGTGGTTCACCCAGATCCCCCGATTCCAAGGATATACTTTTTATGGGGTTATTGCATGTTTTGGGGTCCCTGTGTGTTTTATGAAACTGTATTATTTCTGGCCAGCAGATAATTGAGCTTTGTGTATTGTAGAAACTCAATTATCTAGCCTGGCCCAGAGGAGGAGTTTTGTGTTGCATAAATTGTGAGTTCTGTGTGCCAGTAAATCAGTCTTGTTCCAGCATTAAGCCTTGGCTCATGTTTGGGGGAAGGGATACCTACACTCTGGGGATTGCTATAATCACTTACTCCCCAGAGGAAGCTCTTGCAATAGCTTGATTTGTTCCTGTTCCTGCTCTCTGGGGAAAGAGAGGTTCACCCACTGGAAGCTGGATCCTGGCCTTGGGTCCAGGGTGGGTGGAAACATCAGAGACCCCGGCGCAGTTGCATCGCTGGAAGTGGGGTCTGCAGTGCTGATGGTGTCGGTTGGAGTGCTTGGAGTCCTCAGCGAGCACTAGGAGCATCGATTGGCGGAGGTACTCAGTCGGAGTGCCAGCGTTCCGTCACAATGTCTATTCAAGAGGCACATAAATGCATTACATTGGAATAGTTCCTCCGTATAGGGACACACGAGAGACATGTTTGCTCATCTAAAATGATTAAACAAAGTATCAAGCTGAGACCATGGAAATAACACAAACAATTAAAAATTCTTCATTATTTTAAAATCTTGTTACAAATATAATCTATCTACACACAAATCTCACAATCTCTAAGAGACCTGTACTAGGCAGTTCTTCTATGAACACTCAAAACAGACAAGTAGTATTTTTGAAGCTCCTAAATGCCATCTGTCATTAGTTTAGCTTTTCTTGCATTCCCTTTTTGCTGTTGAGGCAACAAAGCCAGTTTTATTTGCAAACAAAGAAAAAAATCCTTATTGACCACAGAATGGCAGTCAGTTTTCCTTAGATCATGAAGCTGTTACCCCAAATATTAAGCATTATATCCCTGAATATTTGTGTATTCATCCAGTTGCTGTTTAAACATTTGAACAGACTCTGATAAACCCACCTCTGAAAAGTTAAAAGCGAAAAGTTAAACAAAAAGGTGCTACTTGTAATGTTTAACAAAACAGACACAAATGCTCGACCATGTTTCAGTGTGATGACACACCGTAGTCAGGGGAAACCAATAAAGCACCTCTATCCACCTCAGATTTATGAGCCTCTAGACAGGGAATTTTCCCACTGTGTAAAATGACACAGAGCACTGTGATTGGATGGCTTGAAATTCATCCAATCACAGTGCTCTGTGTCATTTTACACAGCGTGGGAAAGTTCTTTGGAATTTTTTTTTTTAACAGTTTTTTTAACGTTTAATAGACATGCCCCTACTCGCGGTATTGCGAGTAGGGGCACAATTTACTAATACTAAGTAATTTTTACTTAGTATTAGTAAATTAATAGGGGGCGGACCAAACATCGCATATGTTCGCCATCCGTGGCGAACGCGAACACGTAATGTTCACCGGGAACTATTCCCCGGCGAACCGTTCAGGACATCACTACTGACTATATACAGATACACACACAAACAGACAACATACAGAGACACATTCTGACAGACATACTGACACAGAGACACACACATACACAAAGACATACTGAACCAGACAGACACTGACAGACTCACACAGACATACAGATACACTGACAGACATACTGGCACATATAAACACAGACAGATGGACATACTGAAACACACATACACACAGACACTGACAGACATATTGACAAACACAGACATACAGAACCACACGGACATTGACAGACTCACACATAGACATACTGACACACTGACAGACATACAGACATTCTGGCACATAGACAGACATACTGAAACACACATACACACAGACACTGACAGACAAACACACATACAGACATTTTAACACACACACAGACAGCCATACTGAAACACACATACACACATACATACTGAACCACACAGACACTGACAGACTAACAAACACAGACATACTGACACACTGTCAGACATACACACATACACTGACAGACATGCACACATACAGACATACTGAACCACACAGACACTGACAGACATACTGGCACACTAACAGACATACACTGACAGACAGACATACACACATACATACATACATACTGACACACACACTCAGACACTCATGCAAAATTTGATAACCACACTCCAGTTTCTTACCTTTTCCTGGAGGGTGGCTTCCCTGGGGTCCAGTGGGCTGGCTGGGGTGGATGGTAGTAAGCTCTCGCTCTCTCCCGGCTTGGCCCCCACTGCTCCTTCCTCCCGCGCGGCTCCTGTTTCGGTGGGAGGAAGTGACGCGCGGCTGTCACTTCCTCCCAGTGCTGCCAAAAAGCAAGGGCCCGGTCGCGCTGTTAAAGCGCCATAGCGCCCGACCGGGCCCCTGCTGACACAGGCCCACCAGGTGGCCCTAAGTACATGAGCCACCTGATGGGCCCCCCATAGTTTGCATGCAGAGGGCAAATAGGGCAGCTGCCTTGGGTCCCCCAGCAGGGACAGGGCCCGGGGCAGCTGCCCCGTTTGCCCCACGTTAAAGATGGCCCTGACCCTAGATACTAATACAGGAGTATTCAAGTCCGCTATTGCATGAATGTAACTTACTTTGACACATCATGAGTGGCATAGATCCTCTGTCCAAAGCTACATGGTGTTCAATGTTCCTACTTTCTTTGTGGTCTCTCTTTCAGAGGATGTTTAGAAGCACATATTTTGTATATTTACATAAAATTTCTTTAGTTGCTGCAGTGTGTGGTATAGGTATCTCTTGAGCCACCCAATCACAATTTTTTCTGCAAGTTTTTTTCCAGCAATACTTTGCATACTTTACTATATACTATACTAAGGAGAAATAGTTATTTAAAATTCCTGGTCTTCATTAACTAACACACCCATCTCTGTTTTCAGTGCACCTACACTTTATTTTTATTTTTATTTTTTAATTTATGTACCTCCAAAATGTGCAGGTTGCTTTTTCTCTCTTTAGCTATCTGTCACTTTCTCATTTATAATCTTCTTTCTGCATGCTGTTCCTATGTGTCCAACTCGTCTGGTTATAAATACGTGCCTGTTAGTCTTCCAATTGTACAACGCTACATAATTTGTTGGCGCTTTATAAATAATAAAAATAATATTTGGCTTCCTTATTTCTGAACTAAGATGCTTCTTATTTGTCTGATTTAAATGCTTTAAATTATCCTTTTCTTATGTTTAACTATGGTTTAGCTTCCCATTAATCCACATTGGACTCAGTTTGTTTCTTTTATATTTATTACCCAATAGTACATACTGAGAAATGTACCTTTCTAATATTTGTTTGAAGATGTCCCATTTATCATCAGTGGATTATTTTTTACTAAAGAGTTAAAGGCCACACTTAAATCATGTTTAAGTATACCCCATGTGCAATTGCTTTTTTGAGTTTATTTCAAAAGACAATATAATGTGCTCCCTTAATTGAATGTTTGACAACAGGTCAACATTGTTTGTTATAACCAGATCCAGACAAACATCCATTCTAGTTGGTGCTTGTACCAATTGTGACATGAAACTGTCATTTAACAGGTTCAAATACCTGATTTCTCTTGCTGAGCTAATGGTCCATCTATCCCAATTTATATCCGGGTAATTAAAATCTTCAAGAATGATAGTGTTACCCAGATGTGCAACTTTCCCAACAGCTGTTCTTCCTCTAAAATATCAACCGTCAGATGGTTTATAACATATCCCAACCAATCATTCCCTTCTTTCCCTTATTTTGCTCCAAGCAGATATCTAATCATAAAGCTTCAACATTTCCTATTTTCCTAGTCACATTCCACTGTGCTTAATATATGGCTTCAACTTGTTGACATACAAACATATTCCTACATCTTTCTTGTTTTTTTTTTTTCTATCCTTCCTAAATAATGCATTACAATTTAAAGGGACACTATAGTCACCAAAACAACTTTAGCTTAATGAAGCAGTTTGGGAATATAGATCATGCCTCCGAAGTCTCGTTGCTCATTCTCTGCCATTTAGGAGTTAAATCGCTTTTCTTTCTGTTTATGCAGCCCTAGCTACACCTCCCCTGTCTGTGACTGACACAGCCTGCATGAAAGAAATTGTTTAATTTTCAATCAGATGTCGCTTTCTTTAAAGGTTTTTAATCTCCTGCTCTGTACATTTCAGTTTAACTACACACACACAGGAGACTCCTGGAAGATCTAGCAAACTACTAGCAGAGCAGGAGATACAAAATTCTAAGTTAAACAGAATTTGCAATAAAGGAAGTATGAACATTAGATGACTCTTGACAGGAAATGTTTAGGAAGGATGTGTAAGGCACATGCAGGGAGGTGTTACTAGGGCTGCATAAAAAAGCGATACTGCAGGGGCATGATCTATACACCAAAACTGCTTCAGTAAGCTAAAGTTGTTTTGGTGACTATACTGTCCTTTTAAGTTACCTGCCCAGTCATGTGTCTCATCCAACTATGTTTCTGTTATGCCTATTATGTCGCATTGCTTAGTGTATGCTATTGCCTCTAATTTCCATGTTTTGTTATATAGGCTCCTTGTGTTAGAAATCATACATTTAATATTGTCGTGAGACTTTTTTAAAATATTTTATTACATACATCCTCTTTTTTTAATATGCCCCTCCCCCAATCTTCATTCACCTTGCACTGAGCTAAATCTCATCTCCTGTCCTATCTTCATTTTGTAGATTTTTGTGTCTCTTCCCCCTTGCTACTACTAGATTAAAATCTCCTCCAACCGTTTAGCCACCAAGATAAATTTCTAGTAGACACTCCCAGGGCTGGCCCTAGGGATGTGCAAGCTGTGCAGCTGCACAGGGTGTCATTTTAACTGTGTGTTTGTGTGTGTGTGTGTGTGTGTGTGTGTGAATGTCTGTCTGCAATTGTATGTGTGACGCTCTGCCTGTAATTGTGTATGACTGTCTGTAACTGTGTGGGTGACTGCCTGTTGCTGTGTGTATGATTGTCTGCCTGTAACTGTCTGTGTGACTGTCTGTAACTGTCTTTGTGACTGTCTGACTGTAACTGTGTGTAACCATTTGTCTGTGTGTGTGTGTGTGTGTGTCTGTCTGTCTGTAACAGTGTGGTGACTGTCAGTAACTGTGTGTAAGACAGTCTGTCTGTAACTGTGTGTGTATGAGACTGTTTACCTGTAACACTCTGGGTGTGATTGTGAATGTCTGTAACTGTGTTTACTTGACTGTCTTTAACTGTATGTGTGACTTTCTGTGTGTAATGTTTGTATGTTACTGTCTATTACAGTGTGCATGTGACTGTCTGTAATTGTGTAACTTTGTGTGTGTGACTATGTGCCTGGGACTGTGTGCATGTGGC